TAACTATATAGAGGTGTGTTTCCTTAAGATGAGATCAAGAAAAATGATAATTTATTACAAAGTAGAGTTTTTTCCTATACATAAATGATCTCAAGTTGAAGAAAAACTTGTGTGAGACTGAACGTGTTACAGGACAATGCCTAATGGACTCAATCAAAATTTGACACATTTTAAGAGTAAACAACAATTTCCTATTTACATAAAAAACTAAAAAAATATTATCTCCATCATTAAAATTAAAATAAAACAATAACACCCCTTCCCAGACTTCCTCCAATGGAAAAGCCTCAATCGCAAGTGTAAAGGTGGGAAAAGAACTCTAATATGGGTTGCTTTCGTTTCATTCCTCCAGTTTGTGTATTAAATCTCTCTTATCTTCAAAGAATTGAAATCCCATCACTTCATAATTTTTTTTCAATGGATTTAGTTGGAATTGTATAGACTTTGGTATTGAAAACGACTACATATGATTGAACCTAGATTTGTTTTCTCTTATTTTTTTTTTGGGCGATGAACCATTTTTCGCAGAGACAAAAAATCTATGAAAATGATAAATATAAAGCTTATTCCTTCAAAATTAGTCAAACGATACCGCCCACGAGGAAGGGATGAATTCTCAGATGGAGGAGGGCTCCAGTTGGATGATTGGAGTCTATTTTCTACTTTTATTTATCTTTATAATACATTTTCAATTTGCTTTGTGTAATTATGAAAGCTTTAAAAGATAAATTATTAACTAAGAAATCATAGTTAAATTTTACCATGTTTCAAATTTTGTTTGAGTTGTAGTGTTATTTTTTTTTTATCAAACGATATTATCTATATTAAGAGGGTGAGAGAAGTCGTAGTGCTATTAGACAATGTTGAATGGCACAAGAATTTTTTTATAACTTTGGGAGGTTATTTCTTTATTAAAAATTATTTTCTAGAGATTTTCCCATAATACTGATATCACATCTATTATTTTACTAGTATAACTTCATTACCTTAGTATAAAGATATCCTTGTATTAGAATGAAAACCTAATTTTTTCAGAGATATGCTAAGCTTAATGATATCATATCTTATTGATTTTTGCAGATTTTTGTAGAATAATTTATAATATGAACGATTTTAATCATAAACATAAAATTTTGCCAACCAATTACAGAATATTTTGACAAGGAACTCCTCTCATCCATTGGAGATCTGAGTTAATTCCATTTTCTAATTAAAAATAGTTAATCATATGTCAAACCTAAACTGGATTGCACTGAAATCACGTGAATCAAATTATAACATATCAGAACCCAGTTACTATTAACCCATGAATGCAAATGATGGAGACACGAAGCGAGAGGACATTGAGATGATTTCGTAAAAAGAAAAAGGGAGATATGTGACTCCGCCTTCCATCGACATCTGCATAACATTTGAAAATTCAATGTACGAAAGTGCTAGGCCACGCAGAAGAACACAAAAGCTGTAAAGGAGATTGAATTATTTTTGGCGTTTAGGTTAAATAAACCATAAAGTCGCAGGATAATTCTAGCAGATCGTGGATTTGCAAAGCATAAAAAATTAAAAATTGCAGGTACAAATGGATCGGTGGGGACTCTCTTCACTTGATTGAAGAAGATTCAACGTTAAAAGTTTTATGAATATTTAGCTTAGCAGGAAGCTTTTTAGGTTTGAATATTCCATCCTCGATGTAATCCACTATGATCTAACGCGTTTATTCTTTATATATATATATATATATATATATATTTTTTTTTTTATAAATATTATCCGTGTCAAAAACTATAAAAATGTAAAAATTTTGCTAATATCACAACCCTAAAAGGTATGCATCAAACTATTTGTGTTTCGATCAACATCTATCTCAAGCTATGCATCAAACTATGTCCATGTAAAAATGAGCTTAAACTTTTTCCTAATAACACAACCCTAAAAGGTAAATATGATGTAGCTGGAGAGGTTTTTTTTTTTTTTTTTTTTTTTTAATTTAGTGTAGGATGGTGCTTCATTTATCCATTGAACTCGTCATGTTTCTTGTCTTAAAACATGGAAGAAAAATGTGATACCTTGAGTATTTTAGGGTCATTAATAACATGAATTGGTTTGGCCTAGGGCTGGCCACGATTTGGATAGGTTCAAGTTTAGGTTCAAATCACAATCCAAAGCACACATTGCGGCTTGCCTGTATTTCAAACCACAACTGAACCATATGACTTAAAATTAATGTAATTGGTTCACCAATGATGTGGTATAGTTTGGTTCGATTTATGGTTTAACATGCACATATTACCAAATAAATTTGTTTGAGTTATATCGAAATAAATATAAGAAAAAAAGTATATACTATCAATTTATAAAAAAATCCATCATCAAACTACAATCTCATAACTCAAAATCTCAAACTTTCAATCTCATAACTCTAAAATTGTAAAAATAAGAATGCGAAATTAGCTAACCAGAATATTCAAGTTATTAATAGGTGAATAATTCATTATCCTCGTACAAAGTGAATTAAAACGCCATAAACCCTAGTATTATAGGGCAATCCCACCATCAATAGGATGAGTATACATCAATTCACCTTGACACACAACTTGATTGATCAATAGTGCATGCATGTTAAAATGTTGTGATATTTGCTAGTGAATTGAAAGTGATCACTGTCCTAAAATGACAACAATTTGATGGATGTCTTCCACGGACTGCCGACACATACAGACAGGGAGGGGGTTTGGTAGGTTAACGAAATTGAGAATTGAGAAAAGGGCAGTTCCTACTTTAATAATTAATTGTTGAACCAATCTTTGGATCTACCACTACCACTACCATACTTTTGCCCTATCAGTCCGTCCGGGGGGTCAAAAATGTTCAAAGATTCAAGTATATTTATGCATGCATGCATGCATGCTGATTGCTGAATTGGTGGTATATTGTTATCCTATCTTACTATATTTTTTATGCATCCACCAACCAACACACACCAGAACATCCCGCTTTCCCACTAGTAATTTTCTTTGTCTTGTTTTCTATTTGGTTAAATGGGCATGGTTTTGTATGTTACTAAACTTTTAAGCATTTGTCAGTTTCGATAGGTAAATGATTATCACACGTATTTGTTATTCTCTTATAAATTCATGTTCACTTAAATCTGTTGTTTTCGTTTAATTTATTTAAACTTATGGTCAGAAATAAAACGGATGTGTAAAAAGAAAAAACGATATGATATCATTTTCTGTTTTGATATTATTTCAGTGGTTTTGATTTGTTTTTTCCTTCTTAAAATAATTATTCAAAGTGAAGGAAGCGTCCTAATTTTGTCGCAAAATATCTAGAAGGAAGTATAATTTTGATAAAGACATTTTAACCATGACGCATCGTACCATTCAACTACTTAAGGCACAAATTTTGAGTAAAATAAACACATATTTGTCCTCATTTGAGAAAGATCGGTTACTTATGGTTAAATTTGTGTGGTTAGGGGTAAAGTTATATCGTCCAAAAATCCAAGCTGTTTTTTAAATTGAGTCTAATTGTAACATACTTATTATAATGAAGGACTACAAAAAATTTCAAACAAAACATATTTAAAATAAAATTGAGTACAACTAATTTTGAGAGTTAGATTATAAGCGAAAAATATCTATAATATAGATAGCTAAAAACGATTTAGTTGTGATATAGACAATTATCGACAAACAAAATCTATGATATAGATATATCAAATAAGTAAAAGGACTGAATGCAATATGATTGAACAAATTTTAAGATTTAGGATATTACAATTCTTTAAAATTTCAATGTTATCACAAACTTAACAAAAATATAATAATTATTGGACATCTAAGGACTCGAATTTGAATCCTTGCTCAATATCGTATATGGTTTGTATCAAAAAATTGGAAAACGCTATAAGATTGTTTTAACTTTTGGTAGAGGATGTCCAAAATTTGGTTCCTCATCTGAATCAGATGATCACCAATGTAGACTGTTAACTGGACCTGTGCATCGACCAACACTAAATGGGACAAGGCCCTAACCAATAGTCTGGTTTAGTCTTATGATCCCACTTCTTAATTTTTTGTTGAGTTCATATCATGTTTTGAACTCCATGTTTATTAGACACAAGACAACCAACAAGAAAACGACACGAAATTAACGAGTTCAAATTGGCCATAAGCATGCTTGTGTCATGATCGTGTTGACTCATTTAACGCAGTTGATGCAGTGTGTGTTTTTGGGTCAATCCACTTGGAAACTAATACGCTTTAACACGTTTACGTAATGTACGATTCATGTAAACCATACAACACGAGATAGTACATCTTAACTGAAGTTGAAGTAGCAAGTTTAAACCCGTTAGTTGATGTAAACATTAAAGTTTAAGAGTATATTTGTAACGTTAAATACTAAACCGGTTAATCGTGTCACTGTCGATAAACATGTTTAATGATCGTCGTGTTCGGGTCTGAAAAAATAAAAGGGACCAGAGCAACAAGTGTGTCATGTTTGAGCTGACCCTAATTTGTTCGTGTCGAATTCATGTCGACCAGAACTTGACCCGTGAGCACGAATTGACACCCCTGACTCTTGGACTAATTGTACGTACTCTCTTTATGGTATTAGAGGAGCTGTTTGAAAAGAACAAGCCCATTAGCCCATGTTTGTTCAAGTTGGGCTGACCTTGGATTCAGGTTGTTGTAAACCACTTGAACTACGAATCCCCTGCAAAGAGCGAATTCGAATCGCAAACGCAATACACACTTCATTAATACTACTTAGCTAAAATTCATCAGCATTATCTTACCGAAGCTCCAAGTTGTTATGGTCGCGAACCACCCGTTGAAGCCCAAGCTTATTTACAAAGTCAAAATCTAAACGAATCTCAACCCAAGGCAAGAACGAAAAACACGTTTCATTTTCCTTTTCGCTTCATTGCAACAAACATTTCATTTCACTTTGATCTTGGGTGGATATAAATGAATTAAAAGAAAATCAATCGCTGCCTGAACACACGTTTTATTTTTGATGAACATGTTCGAGTACCATACAAGCTCTATGACACAGCTTAGAAACCTATATGTGATGCTCTAAATCAAGGAGTTGTAGAGAGCGTCTTAGTTTGCATTTGATAGATCAATTACCTACCGTTTATTTTCTATCAATGTGATGTTGAGAAAGGGTATCAAGGGACCATCTAAATTCTGAAACGGCTTCATCTCCAACGTAAAGTAGTAAACACAACCTGTTCATTTTCTGGCGAAAGAAACCCCCTTCTGAATGCTTGCTGCTAGTTCTTTCTTTGCCTTCTCCAAGCCAGCCCTGTTTTGCAAACACGGAAAACTGTAAAACTTTTCGTATAGAGTAAGTCAATTGCACGGCTTCAAAACAGGTAAGATTACGAACCTCTCATACTCATTCAGGGGGCCAAGAGGATATATTTCCTCAGCTCCAGTACGGCCAAGCCGCACCTTGGATGCAAAGAAGGGAAGTTCAGTCACCTACAGTAGGCATGCATTTCTTGTTAGGTCGAAGACAAGAAAGACCAGTTTATGACATAAATTCAGTTCATACAGAAGCAAATAAAATGCTAGTAACATGCCTGAGAAGCCATAAATGCACATTCGACAACCCCAGCATCTCCTCGCAAGCCACGAAGGCATGCATCTGCAAATTTAACAGCAGCATATGCCTGCATTTTTTGTCAGTTACTGTAAATATAAATTAAGAAAAAGTAAAACTTCTGAAACTACTAACCATTGATAATGTTGCAGAACCAGCTCCAGCTTTTGCCTGAAAAACATGTAAAGATTAACTGGTAAACTAGCACTCTTGAGTATCAATAAAATTATGGTAGCACGAAAATGCAAAAGGTTTTGAAGCAAGGCACCGTTTTTTAATTTCCAATCACAAAATAGAGGAGACTTTACTCTTCTAAAAGATGAGATGAGACTAAGCATGGTGTTAAGAATCATGACAGCACTGAGCCAGAGAGTGGTAGCCTATAGACAGGAAAAGCTATGACTACTAAACCTCTTGCATAAGACCTGATAACCACTTAAGGAGTCTCTGCCTGCAAACACTGAGGGAATGGGAAAAGCTCTCAATACCATCTGCTTTCATTTACAAGAGCAATTTTTGAATCCTAATAAGCAAATCTTTGACATGAGCTAGTCCGTGATACTAAAGTACCTTTATCCCACCCTGTTAATTGTTATCATGTCTTTTGCATGCCCAAATCTGCAACCATTCACGATGACCATAAAGAAAGTTGCTGCAAATAGCCCACAACTACTGCTCAGATACTCTGTCAATTGTACAAAACCTCCGGCCACCACTTAATTCGATTGTTGTACCCTCTTAACACCTTCTACGGTACTTTGTCAGGGTATCAGCCTTAACAAACTATTCAGAACTTATAATTATTCCAATCTACTGTCTACGGTACTTTCCCACATTTGTTCTGTCAAAAAATTATCTAACTTTCTGCATTAAATTAAAATAAATTGTAGGATTTGCATTCACTTAAAGTAAAGCATGTAGTCTCCATATGTAATTAGCAGCCAATCAAGAAAATAAGCATTTTGTTACTCACCTCAACCACCTCAGTGCCACCATTCTGAATGCGATCTGTTAGGTAATCAACTTCTTTTGGGGTGAAAGAGCATGGAGGTTTAACCTGCATAAAGCAATAACGACAATGACTTTAAACAAACTCTCTGCACAATCACACACAGAGCTGAAACATCTGAAAACAAGGTGTCCTAACCTGAGACAGAAGAGGCAAAATTGTAACCCCTGCATGACCCCCAACAACGGGAACGTCGATGTCCCTAGGATCAAGACCCAGAATCTCTCCCTGCAATCATATAACAATTTCATAATCTATAATCAAAATGTGCAATTGGGTAGCAATAAAACATAATAATCAAATTACTAAATGCATACCACAAAAGTATTGGCTCTAACAACATCAAGCATGGTGACTCCCAATAGTTTCTTAGGATCAAAGGTACCAGCTTTTTTGAAAACTTCAGCAGCAATGGGAACTGTGGAGTTCACAGGGTTGCTAATCACGTTAACAATGGCATACGGACAGCACCTGGCGATTGCTTCACTGATCGTCTTGACGATTCCGGCATTGATGTTGAACAAATCGTCCCTTGTCATTCCGGGTTTTCGGGGCACACCGGCCGGAATGATCACCAGCTCCATTCCGGTCAGCGCTTCCTCCAGCTGCTGCTGCCCCAAAAACCCGCGCACCTACAAAACCCAATAACCCAATTTTGCAAATTTAGAAATTTGAAAATTGAAATGAATGAATCAACGAATTTGGGATTTGGGGTTTGGGATTTTGGAGCTTACTACGGCGCCGGTGTCCATGTGGCTGATATCGGAGGTGACGCCGGGGGTGTTGACGACGTCGTATAGGTGGAGAACTGAGACCAAGGGGTTCATCTTCATTAACATGGCGAGAGGCTGGCCTATGCCGCCGGCTGCTCCAAGTATGGCTACTTTGAAACCAGCGGCGCCGCCCTTGGCGCGGCAATTCAAGCGGCTAACAGTGGCAGCGTTCTCCATCTGGAGATTTGGTGGGTCCAAATGGGCGGAAATTCTAGCAATCCGTTGGTTCGCGTTTACTTCTGAGCTCGTCTGCTGCTGCATCGTGTGATTTTTTGTAACGAAAATTGATCTGATCGTCGATAAATAAATGAGCAGAGAGAGGGGGTGGAGAGGATGAGTGAAGACGGGAAAGCTTTGCTGGGAAATTGGGCGGTGTGGAATATGGAAACTGATCTTATCCCAAGTTGAAGTTCCCAAAACCCAATAATATGACTGATCCGAACTTTATGACTTCTGACGTTTCACCGCAATTGGGTTAGGTTGTCCGCTCTCTTATTTTCGTTGCCTTCCGTGCCCTTCTATATTTGTATGATCATGGTTAAATTATGTTAACATTTTATATTATTATTTATTTTTCTCTTATTATTTTTATAAAAAAATAATATAAAATGTTGATGTGGTTTAATCGTGACCACATAAAACAAAAGAGCACATGAGGGCAGACAATCCTTGTCGATTGGGTTATGGGAAAGGAGGTGGATTATCTGCCCTCCCATTTCCATACTCTCCCCATGCTCTCTTGTTTGTGTGGTCACAGTTAAGTCACGTCAATATTTTATATTCCTATTACTTTTTGTTTTATTATTTTTATAAAAAATTAATATAAAATGTTGACGTGGCTTAACCGTGACCACATATCATAGGAGGGCATGGGAAGAGTATGAAAATGGGAGGGTAGACAATCCACCTCCTATGGGAAAAGGATAAGGATTTAGATCTCATCCGGATCCAAATTGTGGGGATCCGAATCCTCACATCTTAACTATTCATCTATCCCCACATCTTAACTATTCATCGTACATTGTACAGTTAGAAATCATTTGATTGTTATTATTTAAAATTAAACACATATAGTAACTAACAAAAACTGACCGCAAGATATACGATGAACGGTTAGGATGTGAGGATCCTTAGAATCTTCATGAAGAGGATCTTCATCCATGGAAAAAGCCATAATATGAAATGGGTGCATTTTTCTCACCCATAACTTTGGATAGGGGTGGAAAAAAAAATTGGAATTTCTCAAATTGAATCGAAAAAAAAAAGTCCCAAAACCAAACAGAAGGTTCTGAACCGATAACTATTTTAATATAATTTTATATATAGAATTAATAATAGCTTTTGGATTTGGTTGAGATTAAATCTTAACCATTCGTTAAAAACTTAACTCCCTCTCACCTTAATTCCTCATAGATCACAAACTCTTGACTCTCTCTCAACCTTTGAAGCTCTCTCTGAGTCTTGACCTATCTTACTCTCTATCCTTTCTGAGTCTCCAACATCACCACCCACCACCACACTTCTCCTTCTTGAACCTCTCCAGCGTCGTCACGACTGTAGAGGCACGCATCTTTGAATCTGTCCCTCTCAACCCTTTTTGTTTCTTTTTCTCATCTCATGCGTCACTCCCAACCACTCATTCCTTTATCAACTCATCGTCGACCACAATCATCTCTGTTTTATCTTCGACGTTCAAGCTATTAAGGTAAGCAATTTCATATTTACAAAACGAATTAGGGATTTATGCTTTAGGGCTTTTGAATTAAGGTTCAAATGAGGATTTACAAATTAGGATTTACTAATTGGGATTTTACGATTTAGGGCTTTTGGTAGTTTCTGGATTTGGATTTGGATTTCTCAAATTTGAATAATTTAAAATTTTTAGCATGCATGTTTGATTTCTGCAATAAGATTACTTAGATTTATGAGTCATGCACATGATAACGCTCCAAGAGGTAAGTACCTTTGGTTATTTATTGTATACATGATGGAATGTAGATTTTACATGCTTACGAGTCACACACACGAGCTACACTCTGACTTGAGTTAGCCTTAATCATGTGTAACTTTTATATGATAAGCCTCTAACTGATTCAAGTCTAAATTCCCTTAATCGACCACAAATAAGTTAGCTTGGTCAAAGAAATAATGTCCTATGCAATGACTCAGACACCTATAATGGGTCAACATTTGGAATTGCATATTCAGAGCTGCGAATGATCTTTCAGATCGTTTCCATGGATGGCCCAAGGAATGTGCCACCTTGCCACCCTTATAGCAAACTCTCATTCTTCCTTTCAAGAATGTATATGTTTTGAGCCTCGCATGACTTTGTTTATACTTTCTTGCATCATCTTTTTTGAGGTATAGGAACCCCCCAATATACCTGTAAACATCAGAACTTCGGTGAAATAATGTTCACCAACAAGTTAAATTTTGACTCGTTAGGGCTTATGTGGCTTACACTATGGGTCTTGCCAAATTGCGCACATTGCATGTAACTTATCAAGGACAGACGAGTCATCAAACGACATATGTCGACATTGAAATCTCCTTCAAACAAGAGCAAATTAACCATTGTTAAAACCAAATTTACGCACCGATCATGTGTAGAGGAAGTGTTCGAACTCGACTACTTGCAAAATAGTAAACAACTATGAACAAGCCTAGACCGGGGGAAGGGGGGAGGGTGTGTCGACCAAAGACTCTCTGACGCTCAAGTTAGTGAATAGTTTTAAACTCAAGCAGTGGGCAAGAGAATTCAAGTGTTTAGACTGCGCTACCAGAGATGAACCCTAGATGACTGTATTTATACTTTAAGGAGATAGGCATTTTTAGGATAGAATCCTTATTCTAAGTCGGGAGAATCCTAGAGGATATCTAAAGGTAGATATTGCATAGGAGTTATAATTACTTGCGATTCACACCAATTCTTAGATTGCAGGAACTCCAAGACTTAAAGGATCTGATTGTGTCTATATCCAGATTAGATCGCGTGTTTGCAAAACAAGCATGGTTATCTAGTGGAGTCGCTAGGGCTCCACCTATCGCCCCAGAATAGATAATGGTGGCACTGCTACTCTTTCCTCATCCAGTTTCCTCTCTGATCTTTCGATGTTCGAAATCCTTAAACCAAAAATCTTCTTTTTCCTTAATAATCTCTATAACAAAGCTAAGTGATTCCCAATTTAGTCATTATTCCATGCTAGTATCCTTCGCTTCTTGCTTTCATAAAATTCATCCCCTCGTAGCACCCTCCATGCAATTCTTGTGTATAGGTGGAACCTCTGCAAAGTGTTGAGATTCTTCAGAGGGTTCTTCGTCACCGCTTTCTTCTTCATCCTCCTCTTATAGACGATGGCAACGACGGACCTCCATCATAATACTCACCCTCAATGTAGTATCTTGCTTGAAACATAGCAAGATGGGTATAGCACGTAATTTATTATGTAGCAATATCTCTATTAGCACCAAGGACTCTTGCCAAGGAGCCTTCAAAAATTTTCTTTTGTCAGGGGTGAGAGCTTGTCTCCCCCAAACTATTGTACCTATTTGAACCCTTTTACTAAGACTTTGATAATAAACATGTGCATACGCGATCTTTTTACTTTGTCTTGTGCCTTTTTTCCTTAATCTGATAAATCCTTCCAAAGTAAATGAACTTGTAGAAATAAAATAAGCAACGAAGCAGGATACAAGTAAGTTTGTGGGCTTGGGACATAGCTCAAAAGCCCCATTAGGTAATGTTGATGTGGAGTAACATTACCTCTCAAACTTAGAATCCATAAAGTATTCTCATCGCGATATCCAGAACACCACCATACTTCGGTACCAGGAATTAAACCTTAAACCCATGAAGAATCTTTCGCTCCGTGCTTTTCAATTCATTTATCGGACTTAAAAATTTCAAACAACCTACAAGAAACAAATCAATAACAACTTTTTACCGTACCTTAGTTCTTGGATCAAAAATTTCAATACTTGTAATGTAGTACTAGGAAATGATTTCTTTCTTAGATTAGATCACGTGTCCGTCTCCAATGAAGCTTAAACAAAAGTTTTTTGGAAACTTGGTCGTCGATATGTGGATTGAAAACACTTTTTGAATCCTTTTATCAGCATCAAACCTCAACGTTTTCGATCAGACTACCTTAGGTAGCTAAGTCAAAGCATTTCCACATATTAGAGCTTCATTGGAATAAAATTCCTTTTAGGGATTTCTAGTCTGAATGCCCTTTTCGGACCTGGAAACATATAACGTCGCAGAACATACTTGACTTAGTACGTTGGTCCGGGATAGAAGTAGTCGGACTTGGGGTTAGAGTTCAGAACCACCTTTGGATAATTCCTGGGTCGCCCTTTCGACTATTCCCTTCAATAGCATAGAGCCTAGGTTTGAATGTTATAACCCACAACTTTATTAGTTGCATAAACTTTCTGGAGGCTGGATGGTGAGTTAGACTTTCGAGTTAGGGCACCATATGCTCATGCCCGTAGCTCGCCAATCGTAACCGCGCAATTTACAGTTTAAGTCTCCCAAGCTAACAGCTGTTTAACATAGAATGAGCTAAGAGAGACTCATCTGATAATGCTATTTTGAATTTTAGACTTGCATTTGTACGAAGTTTTCAAAGTATGTGCTTTGTTTAGGACGAGTGAGGTACTCCATGCATGACAAAAAAGAAAAAAAAAAAAACAAACAAACATCAAGACAACTAAAATTTCCTTATTCATGGTAAAAGTAGGATTAATTTTTTAAAGGGATGTGATTGAATCCGAGAAGGATTGCCTATATATCTCTAGGGGGAAAATCAAATCACTTAATGTAAATAATTAGATCAGGGATAACTTTTGACGATAAGCTTATGGTGAGGTGTTGGGAGATGAGTTCTCTATAAACTTGTCTTTGCGTAGACGATGGCTTTGCTATTGAGTCCAGAGTAGACTGTTTACATATTGGGAAGGGAATTGAACTACGTGTAGTCCCAATTACCTTTTTTTTTTTACTCAATTTGAAGACATCAACAGGAAGTCCATCTTAGGGTAATAAGAGTCAGATTTCTTATGACCCTTTCCATCATTTCTCTTATTTTCAGAATTTTTCGTCCTTCATGGATGCAGTTTATGTTAAAAGTGGGCTTTCTTTGCCGGTTGTCGATCTTCATCGTTTGTGTACTTATCTGATTGGTTCCTATCATTGGGTTCGACTCAGCCTTCTTTCCTTACTTTGTCTCTGACGAATTCCCAGCAATGCCCTGATCCAACAGTTATTCAATGTGATTCCTTAACATTCACAACCCCTAGTGGC